TATATTTTAGGTTCCCCGGCCCATTTAATTTACTTCCGCCTCGGTCAGCATTAAACCCTACAGGTATTATAATGCTAGGATTGATTTGCCTTCTTGGACAATTCCTTCATTTCGACGACCTCCATTCGGGCTCGCTTTGCCTTACTCCTGACTGCATTACTCTTCACCCAATTGATGTTCGCTCTGTACCTGAGTAGGTATCTAATATGTAGGGTATTACTCATAGTTTACGTCAGCTTAATGATGCCAATAGCATTTTTTACTTATTGCCTTCATCTGCTTGTTCTCACCATTTTTCTTTCAAAGGCACACTCCTGACGGGCCGTTAATCTACGAGTCTTGCGGACATTCCTAAGTGTCAACCGAGTCTCTCCAGATCCTGGAAACCGATGGATTACCTCGGTCAGTCGCAGTTTATCCTATCCCCACTCATCCATGCGATTCGATTATACGCTAAATTGGTGCTTTTCTGGTAAGTAGCTATGCAATACTCAGTATCAAATTTAATAATGATGACAATACCTCTTGCTTGATTGATGATACTCATTAATCTGACGCCACTATGCATTCTTCTAGTTAATCCGTCTTCTCACATTAATCCGTTCATCTATTTCCAGGGTCTTTTAGGATAAACTGCTGCCGAATGGACACTCATTTCCTGAAATCAGCTCCCCTTTGGACCAAATAAACTTTTGTAATAACCTACCACCCTTTTGCTTTGATTGTGGCGGATTGCGAGTTCTAATCATAGTTTTCGCCAAATTTAAATTCTTTCTGTCGCTTTTTAGTTTTGGCTTGGTCAATTTAGGCCTGCGGATTTCACTAAGCAATAAATAAAAGTAGGACCCTCGACATTTTTTTATAGTCCGTCCACTAGTCATCCCTTGTGATCATGTTTTCTGGACTGGCGTCCTGTGTGTTCGTCTACATGATCTACGGGTAGAGTAACCTTGTTTATTGTAATTTCGCGCTATATCTAGTTAGCCTCCAAGCAGTGATCCCCAAATGTGTTTCTTTCGCGGGCGCTCTGGCGATTTTGGGTTTATGTCGTGCAGTGCTAATGTGCGGGTGGTATGCGTCCAAACCCTCATAGGTTCGGGGAACCTATTCGTCTGAGCTCCAGTCATTTAATTGTTGGGGCGAGGCTCGTCCAGCGGTGGGTATTATAGCTTATACGCATTCGGTGCATAACCAGAGTTCGTTAGTTTGCATTACTTGGTCTCGCACGTTAGTGCGTATAGCAAAACTCCTATTGCACTTGATGGGCTGTTTATAAATTTTCTGCGTGCAAAAATAGACTACCGCGTGCTCAGCTCAAAAACAGTATTGTCCCTTACGCTGCATAAACCCGAGGCCCATGTTGAAGTCGAGGGGTTCGCCACAACGGGAATCAGCTCTTGCTGATAACATCGACCTTAGGTTTTTGTTATGTCCATACATGCAGAATGAGTCGCGGGATGTTCGACTCAGAAGGATCCAAGCCTACCAGACCCTAACACTCGCTTATCGCTTCTGCCCCATTACCTGGTCACGGGCCATTGCGGGCTGTCTGACTAGGTTATATAGGTTAAGCTGAGTATCATCGTAACTAGCATGAGCTTCCTACCTATAGCATAAACTTCAAGGTCAAAGTCATGGTGGTTAATTTTTGGAGCATTTATTTTATTCACTCCTGGAATTATCAATTTGCTTGAATATGACCAAGCTAATGTAGGCAGTAAATTTCCTGATCCCCTCGCTTCTCATAACAACCCTACCACCCTTTAGCTGGTTTAACAGTTCGATCACCGCTTTAAGCACAAATTTTAATATGTTTTAACGAATACTTTACCTGACCATTAAAAGCCTTTTATTGGACAGTCAGCAAACCGGTTTAATTATATTAGTACTTGCTATGATTTGAAGTTACCGTAAAATAAATTACGTCTGGGTCAGTGATCAAAGACCCCGCTAAACGTCCCCACCATTGTGCGATTAAATCTTACTTTTCCATTTAATCTATACATGGCATCCAGGGGAGCTGACTTCTCAGCTCGCATGGGCCTCAGCACCTGTTTAGTGCAACGTAATATGGACAGCGCGTATGCAGCGCTGCCATGAGTTCCCCCGGTGTACTGGAGAGGATATTAAATTGATAAATGGGCAAGCTCCCGTATAGTATTTATGTGATTGTCAATTAGGCAATTTTGTATTTCGCAGTAAAATCGAACGCATTGCCTGTATTCAAATTTAGTCAAACAAACATTTCATTGTGGGAAGATTAGACTATTAGTCGTACGTCAACCTTCCCGATCTAATGACAATATGGGTTTTATCGGGCCCTATGAATGTATTCCAAACAGTAAATGTCTGGTCGAGTGTGATAACGAATATGAACTTCCGTTGTTTCTTTTTACATTAAAACTGAGTTCGCCT